CTACTGGCATAACACACCTAAAACTTGGAGACACCAGGTTTTGACAAGGAAGAAGAATGCATGGAATAAAAAAGAAAATATCTCTGGTGCTGCTGCACAATGTTATTGTGTAAAATAAGTGCAATAAAAAGTGCTTTCAAGTTTTATTTGCAGTTTAACTCACTGGTAGCTGATGGCTTCCATAACAGGGTCACAGAGGCCGAGTTGTCCTCATTCATCTTCAGCTTAATGTCCTGGTCTACTCTTGATTTCATACATGTGGCCAATGAATGGTTGCAGATGCTCAAAGTCCTTTACCATGTATGATTTACATGACTGTATCATTTTGTTGTTCGTCCTTCATCTCCCTTTGTAGTTGAAGACACCACGAATTTGCCTCCCTCTCCTCCCCCTTCACCTGCTGCGGAGCACTTTGGTCCGCTGGAGCAAGGTAGGCCAAGAATAGAAGTGTGTTTATCAGAGTATGTCTCTAATTAAGGAGAGTGTGGTTTCCTTCCTTTCCATCACTGAAGCTTCTGGTATTTTATGAAGGCCACCACATTGGGGTACTGATATGGGTTGGCTCTGGGTGTACTCTTTAATTCCCCCCCTCTCAGGACAACGCCCCACCTACACGGGACAAACCACACATTGGTACCCGTTCAAGAGACTTGTACACATCAGAGTGGCTAAAAGCAGAAACATGTTCTCCATTTTTCAGACATCCATTTCTTCTGAAATCCTGCTTCCTCCTCCTCATCGCACACCTGGAACGGATACAATTTGTATCTTCATCGTCATCACCATTTATCTCTAAAAGAAAGAAGCGCTCACATGCATGACCACCTTGTTACAAGAAGTGCACTCTTTTTATCATCCTCCTCTTCCATTTCCCTTTCTAATCTCCACACATCGCTGTCTTCCCACACACTAATATGACAGCCAATTTAGGTAACCCTCCAACCTGTTGTTGTTTGTCTTTTTTGTTGAATTATGTCTTAAGTTTTGCATGTCTAATCATTATGTTGTGTTTTCCTGTCATTGTCCATTGTCAGTCTTTTTTGTGTGTGTTTTGCTGTGGCTACAGATCAGAGGTTTAGCTCTATAAACATTACTTGGGGACATAGCTGCTCTCAAGCTGAAGCCAAATAATTTTCTGGCTAGGACTGAAGCCTAGTAACAAAAGTAAGGTGTAAAAAAAAAAAAGTCAATGTCAGTCACTGCAAACTGAAATTCAGTCTATATGAACTTAATCTTCTTGATAACCTATCCTAGCTGACTATCCAGGCTCAATCTAGGACTAGGCATACAATTGTGTGTGTGTTTGCTAGCATTCTGACGTAACAAGATTATAAGCAATGCTCATAAATAACTGAAAATACCTCATTTAGATTTGTTCATGATTTAAATTTATAACAGAATCTGTTTTATTTTTTATTTCAGTTTTCCCAGTTAGCACTGTTGAGTACAGTTGGTTCTATCTTTGACTTCTAAATTTCAATTAAAGCAATGCAGTGATATTTGTGCAGCTGCCTGCAAGAAATGGAGGTAGCCTACAGTGTAACTAAAACTTCAGTCTGCTTCATGCTTGGCGATTGTTTTCATGTCTGCTCAGTCTGAAGTGGCTGGAATGTAATGACAAGTGTCTGTTGGTGGGCCAGCCATGCACCAATTACTTCCAGTTTTGTTAACATTGCATTACTTGTACGGTAGCAAAAATGGTTTGAGGTCATAGGGGTTCTTGCAGAAGGTGGCAGTGTTTTGAGTTTTTGATCTGATGATAAAGAAGTTTAGTTATTCGGGTGTTGTTATGTTAGTGGTCATGAAACAAAACAAGTAGGTATATAAAGAATCTCAGGACCTTAGAGATGTTGTAAATAATACTTTTTGACCTATACAGGGGTTTTCCTTCATTCTAAAATGTTGTTAGATGGTGTCTTTGACTGGATCCAAAGGTTTGGTATAGAGGTTTGTTCGTGTAGTGGCAATGGCAAAACATACGTACAACGTACAACTACTGCTGTATTAGTATTATTACTGTTGTTGTAAGTGTTGAACAACCTTTTGTGTATGTCTTTTATTTAGGGGTAATCATTCACATGTGAAGCAGTTTGTAGTGATCTTCTTCCTCAAACGATGCAATACACTAATTTTGTTTTTCTCAGAGTATGGCTGGCCCCCAAAGCTTTGTCACCTTTGAGTTGCTTGTCACTGTCTTCTTGTCAGTGTCTTGTGTGTTATGTTTCTCTTACTCTCAATCAAGCTCCGTCCTCTTCTTGCATTCCCCCCTCTGGTAGCTCTCTCTGTTTTTTTTATATTTGTCTTTTTTTTCTTCTTCTCAAGCTTTATCTCCCCTTTTCACTGAAAAAATGTCCATTTTAAAAAGTCACTTTAGGATTTATCAAGTAAGGAACAGGGTAAACATTTAGTATTTCCCAGAAAATAAAGCACAGCTCACCACAGCTGGCCCCAGTTGAACTAGTCAAGTGTCATCTCTTATAATATTATATGATCTTGTAAATTTTCTAACCAAAAAAAAAATATATATAGAGTGTGTGCATAAAAATATATATATATATATA